AAATTTCATTACAGGGTTGTTCCTCTTTAGCTGATTCCTGGAACTATACTTATTAAATCACTTTATTTGTAATTCTGGAATAGAATGTGATTACCGGAAAGGTTCAAGTTAAGAGATGAAGAAAACAATATCCTTGGCCACATAGAAGAACTAGTGAGAAATTTCATAAAGGAAATAGAGCATTAAAGTTTTGCATTCATCCATTGCCTCTTGAAATTACAATTAAAGAATTACCTGTTAGAAAACTTTGAGATCTCGTGTTGATTCATCCTGAGCAAGGAAACTTTGTTTCTTAAATTTAGATTAAGAGCAGCATTCTTCCATAATTTTTTCTGCTTTTCTCCTTTCTTCATGGATGGAGATGTTTCTACAGAACATGCTTAATCAATTTAGGTTTGTTGCTGACAATCAAACTTGAGAAAAACATTCAGTTTGCTTGTCAGAAGAGCTATTTAATGGGTCTGAATGTTTGTACGAGTGAATGAGAGTTTGTAACTGTACCAACCGTTATATGGTTCCTAGCCAATTGAGGCGGTGTATTCTTTACCATTGGTATTTGGAGATACATATGATATATAGAGCAGTACTTGTCCATTAAAACATATGTTTTATAAACCTCATCTCTTCTGAGAAGAAAAATGGGTCGTACACCTCCAACTATAAAGCTGGTGGTTCTGAGTCACAGAGGAAGCAAAGATAGGGCCACAGTAAACTCGTGTATGGGGTGCTTGCCTGAGGGATTACTAGATTAAACAAAAAAATTGTTGTTTGTATTAGCATGATTTGTTGTTATGGAGCTAACATCTCCACTTTTTTAACTGTGCATGTCCTTTATGGAAAATCACTGTTTGCTTTATGTTCTTGTGGATAGCATCTGTCTTCCAAATCCCGTTTTTCCCATTTCTTTTGCTGTGAATTGTATGGATTCCTGATTTTAGTATTATGCAGGCCAAGTATTAAGATTCCTGCACCTGTTATGATGCCAATTGCACATTTGGTGGAACTGACTTATAAGCTGTTAGCACCTTATGGAATGAAGGTCCCACAGTTGACTCCTTCGAGAATAAGACTTCTCTCTATGAGCAGAACATTTAGTAGTTCAAAAGCAAGTGACCAACTAGGATACGCACCTATCGTCACTCTTCAGGTTCCATTTTTTGCCATTACACTCAATCAATTGGTCTGAACATTCCTCATAAAAATTGTTTAGCCATACCATGTCTATATCAGATACTCCCAACCTTTTTAGGTACTGTTATGGTCTTCTCTTTATTGCTGTATCTCTTTTCAGCTTCCTCGTGAATATTTTCATGTGAAAAGAATATGTTTAAGTATTTACTGCAAAAATTGTATTATTTGCCTTTGATATTGAATACGAGAAAATAGTCATTCATCTGGATGTCCACATCATTACTGCAGGAATACACACATTTTCCTGTCAAATATGTTGTACATGTAACTTACATTTCATATAAGATGATATTAGTTGTCATATTTGTACCTTATATCTTCTACGAACTAAAATTACTATTTTTCTGTGGAGCCTCATCTTTTACAATCTATTATTTTCTGCCATTTCTTTTTGTTTTTTATTCTCATTACATAATTCATTTAAGTTTTAAGGCGTCCTCTATTTTCTTCAGGAGGGCATAAGGAGGACCATTGAATCCTATCCACATCTGAGAGCTGAACACGGGTCGGGAAAGGATGGTCCTAAATCATCTGCATCTCTTAAACGGTTTTTCCTCCTGGTAATTACTAATACATATTAATCCATTTGTTGTGAGAGAAAAAATGTGATAGACACCTTACTATTTCATTTCAGAAGTTAATTTAAAACCATGGTCATTACTTATATGGTTATGAATTGAATAGGCATGCCTTTTCTGCTAAACTACATACGTACTCCAAGTATAACTATCATTTGAAATTTCTTACCTTTTCTTTTGGTCCATCCAATCTATTTTACAAAACAACATTGTATGATGATGTCCAAGAATATTTGACCCTTTAAAATAACTTTCATAAGTTTCAAGAATTCAATTTCATATAATAGTGTATATTCAATCAGTAGCAGTGGTACTTTCTCAATCGAAATATTTATTAATCAATCAACTATCTCTCAATCCCAAATTGCTTCAGATCGACTATGATGGTTTGGCCTTGTCCATGGAGATGGAATCCATTACTTGCCATATATCAGAAGGAACATTTTGTATTGTTATTGGATGATTACTAATTACTAATTATGATCAAGTGTAATGATCCAAGGATAAATTGTGAAATGTGAAATCTTTCTAATCATTCCTGCTCCTCTTGGCTAGAAGTAATAGGAGTAGCTATATCTGTATCATGCTGTGAACTCGCATTTTCATCTATTAAATTGTGATATCTTTCATCTGGCTGATGTAATAGGTGATTTTCTTTCTATTAATTCTAAGCGTACTTGGGATCATTTCACCATGGAGTTTTTTCGTCATAGGTATGCACTCTTCTCTATCTCCTCCTGTCCATATCATTTACGCTTGCTTGTAACTTGGTCAAACACTCTATTGTGCCCAGAAGAGTTTTTTCTGTTTCTCTTCATAGCAGATGTAAATAACACTCCAAACAATGTAAGCTGGTATCCCATCTTCAGTGCTCTGACCTTCTCATGTTTACTGCTGCAGGAATCTTAGCTGCCTTTGTTGTGTTCTTGATATTTGACAAAAGCAAGAAGAATTAGATCATTTAGTTCATGCAGTATTTGGTCTAGCATTGATGGGAGAACATCCAACTCTTAATTAAAAAAAACAACGATGGGGCGTGCAGCATCATTCACTCATTGGAGCCTCACTTGAGAGAAGTTGTGTTTACATCCTGGAGTTGCTATATAGTAAGGTGCTTTTTACCAAGCCAGTTATTTTAGTTTTTGTTGTATTTGTTTATTTTGGTACATTGGTAAAGAGTACTAACTAAAAGTTTTTAAAACCTTTGATAAGCTACATAAGCTATCTATCGTAAGTTTCAAAAGTTTTCTTTATTTCTTAAACCTTGAGGAGTTCCTCATCGCGTTCAAATGTTGACATATGTTGCATCTGCAACATCACCCATGCCTCCACGCCTTGCCGAGTTTTGTAATCCTTCAAGAGAAACACATTCTTGAAGGGACCATTTGCTAGACACACTCTTTCATCCAAAATCTACACTCTCTCTCTCGTACTTCAATTCTTTCATTTAGTTAGGCGTGATAAAGAATCTTGCACGAAAGAGATTCTTTCACATACTCAATTGGAATCACACTTAACCTTGCTATTTACTCATAGAAGTTCCTTTTGGAGCTATTGAAGGTATGCAGATGAGGCTTTGGTGGTGGGTGGTGGGAAAACTAAGTTAATTTGGGTAAAAGAAATGAGTTATATTATTAAGTGGGTCAGATTGGATTATTTAAGTAAAATTAGATAATTTAAATTGATTTGGAGTTTTTCCATCAAAGGAGGGATATATTTGTTAAGTTTTTTGACGTCAGGGGTAAAAATAACTTATTTTTAATGACATGAGTAAAATCAATTAATAAAACAAAATTGATAAGTAATTTTGATCCTTTTCCCTACTTTAAAAGTATCTTTTGAAAAAATAAGAAGAAAGAAACTCCCTATATATCCTCATCTTTGCAATTTGGCAGTGATTCAGGAAGCCCTTGTAAAATAATAATAACAATAATAATTTTTTTTAAAAAAGAAGAATTTATATATATATATATATATATAAGAATATATTGTAATTAAAATTTAAGGATATATTTGTTCGTATGGAGCAGTGTTTTAAAAGGCGGGGATGCGAGGTACAGTACTGGGCGAGGCGTAAACTTCGAGATACGGATGTAAGTCCCATGGATTCACGAGGCGTAGTCTCATGTATATTTAAATTTATAGTTTTATTACTAATAAAATAAGTAAAAGTAAATATTTTAATGATTTATGATTTTTATTTGAGATAAATATTAATAATCAATAATGAAGAAAAAAGTATTATAATTATTACTTGAAAAAAATCATTAAACCAATAATAAAAATATGATTTAAAAATAATTTTTTTTAAAAAAACTAAAATAAAAACACCCGGGCATACGTTTTTACGCCCAAGACTTGCGTTTTTATGTTCAAGGCTTACGCCTCAAATTTTCGAGATGTCTTTTAAGAGAATTTAGTATCCTTTATATAGACATAAACTAGGGTTTAGGGTTGAGTAGCCTCCAAGATTGTATCTAATTGTATATGTATATAATTGTATGTAACTGTATATTATATATATACATTTGTATAAATGGCGAGCGAGATTGGGAGAGGGACGAGAGAGGCGAGCAAGATTGAGAGAGGGAGGATAGAGGCGAGCGAGAGAGGTAAATTGTATATGGATATAGGTTAAAAAATTATATATTATACATATGTATTTGTATATCTTGGTGAATTATATACATATACAAACATGACTAATTATACAAAATCGAAGTCACACGTAATAAATGTATAATGTTAGTCGCGAGTGGTAATTATAGCAAACTATAGCTATAATGAGTAATTAAATAGTATAAGTTTGCTTAGACGCGTAATATTTCCCCTTTTTATCAAATTTATTTACCCACCAAATTGCTTAACATGTGGTTCAAAGTAATAATGTTGGTTCGCCTTCTCAGTCGTATGAATAATAAATGCAAGTTTAACATAAGAAGATTGTCTGTACTATGTGAAAAAACTATATTAAAGACTAATATACCACAACTTATGTATGTTTAATTTTATTTTTTTATTGAATTAAAATTTGATCAATAAATATTGTATTTTTTAGAATATCATTGTGATAAAAGTATTATGGGATTTTATAAACTTTCACAAGCATTTAAGAGTTACAAGGTATAAAAGTAGATACCTGAGGACGTTTGTGTACATAACTCTCCTTGATTTTAAAAGAATTTATACATATAAACACTCTACTAATTTACAATTGTTTGATACAATCTCTAAGATTAATACTAAAAATAAAGTTATTAGTACATAAATAAATTGTTGAATTCTTCATTCTTGTTACAACAAAAGCATCCATTGTAATAGCAAGATGGTTACTAACTAACATACGAGATGCACATGTAACACATAAAATACAAATATTATTCAATATAAACATTTACATAAAGCCACTAATCTCATTGAACCACCCCTAGATGAACGGAAAACAAAGCCATCACAACACAAATGAAATCCTAAAATCATGTAACCAACTAGGAAATAAGGTCAAGAAGCTCCTCATCGCGTTCAAATTTAGACATATGTTGTTTGTCCAACATTACCCGCGCATCCACACCTTTACCAATTTTGTAATCTTTCAAGAAGAAAAAATTCTTGAACGGACCATTTGGTAAACTAACTCTTTCAGGTTTTCCCAATCCAAAATCCACTTTATACAATGGAAATCTACAAAGATTACTACAAGAATACACATTCTCATATTCATCATCATATGGTTTTTTCCCTTTTCTCATTGATTCTACTACTTCTAACATAAATTCATTTTGTTCCACATGATCTTTCTTGTACGCCTCCTCAACTTCCTTCCTTAAACTACGAACCAACGCCGGCAACTCAATGTCTTCTTCCTTAGTTGCTGTTGTCGAGAAACTGGACAAGATATTCCCAATGGTACTTTGAGGTAGACGAGATTTCAGCATACTACGTACGTTCAAAAGGTGAACAAACTTTGATGGACGCATTGAAGTAGTTGTACTTGATGCTGCCTTAATTGCACATTTGAAAAGTAGCGCGCTCACCACTTCAGCCCTAGTTGGATTTTCTACTCCTGATTCTGCTGCTACCTTCAAATGATGTCGCATGAATTGAAATAGATCAGAAAACATGAAGAAGAAGAAAAAACCATAAAAGCAAATAATAATGGAGTTGTGGTATGATTACCTTAGCTCGAAGTGCGTCTAACTTGGCTGTAGGAAAAATGATTCTTTTTTGTACACACTCACTGACATCAGACAACATTTGTGGCGTAATAATAGGACTATAGTTATTTGACGAGAAAACAGAATCTCCTACAAATTTAGGAGCCAAAGTTGTTGTCATAGGACTATGAGTCATACGAGACCAATCATTAACGAAATTAAGCATAGAGGTTCCATCACCAATCTTGTGCGCTAAGCACAAACTGATAGCTATTCCCCCACAATCAAACTTACTTACTTGTGCCACAAGTAAATTACCACCTTCATAGTTATTCGCCCAAGGCAAGGCCTTGGGAAAAACAATACTCTCTGCTTGAGATGCATCAGGATGATCAAGTATTTCAGACATGGTACAATTTATTCGAACACTCAAAAACTCAGCTCCCATATCGTTACAATCAATAGTAGCATTGTCTCTCAATTTTCCAGCATAAGGATAGTAAGAGACTAGAGTTTTTGATAGAGATGTTTGTAGCAAGTGTGCTATATGGGATAGTTCATTCTCCTCTCTTTGTTGTACTTTAGGGTAAAAAAATGCCAAAGGAATATACAAATTGCTATAGAATTGATCAATGTAAGAGAGTTTGTGGTATCTAAGAGTAGGAGGGGTGAGAGAAAAAGGTTTGATAAAGGTTTTGTCACAAACTGAAACAAGTGATGGTGATGATAATAATGCAAAAGCCATGATTAATTTAACAGATAACACTACTTAATCCTTAGACAATTTGCTCTATGCAATGGTAATTATGTTTGATAATTTGTTTCCCCATTTCTCATATATATATATACACACTTAATTTTTTTTACTCTGTTTAAAAAAGAAAATAAAATAAAAATGAAAAGATTCTCTCATATCATTTTCGGCAATAATATTCATGTGACCTCATACCATACACACGTGACTTCTCTCACACTTTTTCATGTATTCTCACATTTTTTGGCTTACCACTTCAATTCCAGTCAATTTTTTTTGTTTACTCTATGTAAAAAGAAAATAAAATAAAAATGAAAAGATTCCTTCATATCTTTTCTAGTAACAATTCTAATGTGACCTCATATCATACACACGTGACTCCACTTAGACTTTTACGCACATACTTATGATTTTTGGTTTACCACTTCAATTCCATTAATTTGTTTACTCTATTTAAAAAGAAAATAAAACAAAAGTGAAAAAGATTCTTTCATATCCTTTCTGGTAACAATTCTAATGTGACCTCATACCATACAAATGTGAGTCCATCATACTTTTCCAACATACTCATGATTTTTGACTTACCACTTCAATTTCATTCAAAAAAATTTGTTTATTCTGTTTAAAAAGAAAATAAAACAAAATGAAAAAGATTTCGTTCATATCCTTTCTTGTAACAATTCTAATGTGACGTCATACCATACACACATGACTTCACTCACACTTTTCCATGCATACTCACGTTTTTTGGGTTACCACTTCAATTCCGTTACAATTTCTTTTTTTTTTTGTGTTTAAAAAGAACATGAAATAAAAATGAAAAGATTCCTTCATATCCTTTCTGAAAGAGCCTTCTCTCTGTTACTTATTCTCACCATTTTCCCAAGTTACTTATTCTCTCCATTTTCCCAAGTACCCACTTGGACGGAAGCCAACATTTTTTATAACAATTCTCATGTGACCTTATACGATAAACTGATACACATGTAACTCCACTCACACTTTTTTACACATACTCGTGTTTTTTGGCTTACCGCTTCAATTTCGTTACAATTTTTTTGTTTTTGTGTTTGAAAAGAACATAAAATAAAAATGAAAACATTCCTTCATATCCTTTCTGAAAGAGCCTTGTCTCAGTTACTTATTCTCTCCATTTTCCCAAGTTACTTATTCTCTCTATTTTCTCAAGTACCCACTTGGACGGAAGCCAACATTTCTGATAACAATTTTCATGTGACCTTATACTATACATTGATACACATGTAACTCTACTCACACTTTTTTACACATACTCACGTTTTTTGGCTTACCACTTCAATTACATTACAATTTTTTTTTGTTTTTGTGTTTAAAAAGAACATAGAATAAAAATGAAAAGATTCCTTCATATCCTTTCTGAAAGAGCCTTCTCTCAGTTACTTATTCTCTCCATTTTCTCAAGTACTCACTTGGACAGAAGCCAACATTTCTGATAACAATTCTCATGTGACCTTATACTATACACTGATGCACATGTAATTCCACTCACACTTTTTTACACATACTCACGTTTTTTGACTTACCACTTCAATTCCGTTACAATTTTTTTTTGTTTTTGTGTTCAAAAAGAACATAGAATAAAAATGAGAAGATTCTTTCGTATCCTTTCTGAAACATCCTTCTCTCAGTTACTTATTCTCTCCATTTTCCCAAGTACCCACTTGGACGGAAGCCAACATTTCTAATAACAATTATCATGTGACCTTATACCATACACTGAATCACATATAACTTCACTTACACTTTTTTACACATACTTACGTTTTTTGGCTTACCACTTCAATTTCATATCCATAGACACACGGATTATTCGTATGATAAGCATCTTTCGATCTTGTGTCCAATCTTTATTTTGCGGTATCGAGTCACACAGGAGCACAATGAAGATTGAGGAGCTGTAGAGACATAGATGGGCAAAAAAACAGAGCAGGCGGACAGAAAACAACCTTATGATTTACGTGACTAGTTTATCGCGCAATTTTTATTAATTGATATTTAATAGAATTTTTATAAAATAATTTGAACCATAAATAATTAATATTAGAGATCTCTTAATATTAAGAGGAAACATGAAAAGTAATAATTTCCGTGATACATTAAAAGTAATAAATAAAAAAATATTCATAGGATTATGAATAAATAAAAATAAACATATCAATAAAGAATACTCCTTATTTTATTTCAATTATCGTTTAGTTCAAAGAAAACATCCCAAAAATGATTTATCACTTTTTTAAAATTTCAAAATTAAACTAGTCCATTATTTTCAAATATGGCTTAATTTTAAAGGAACGTTTTTTTTTTCTAAAAATATTGCTCAATTCTTAAAAAGAAAAAAAACTAGGAGTAATAAATAAGAATAACTAAATAATTTAAGCATTGTGTTTATTATTAATATAACGTGCATGAATAAATGCTAAACCAATAGTTAATTAAACGGATCCGGTTCGTCTTGTTTCTCTTCTCTTTCATTTTTTCAAATTCTTGTTGGATTAGTAGTAACACATGCAATAAATTAAATTTGTGGCTAAAATTTAATTGCCCAAAATAAATCCCTAGTCATAATTTATACTACCAACAGATTAAATTTGACAAACAAAATACTCCAACTTAATAAATTAAACATGAAAATTATCTAGATAAATGTCTCCATACTATTATATTACCAACCGAAGAGTGCTTCCTCTCGTTGATCAGTTCAAACGATTTTAATTTGCTTTAGTTTAGTGGACATTGATGACATTGAAATTTTATAGAGATTTTTTAAAGATTTTTTTCAATAAATTGGAGAAGTTCGACACATTTAGGGTGTGCTTCATATGATGGTAATTTTCTAGAAAATGTTTTGTTGAAAAACAAATGCATTTCTAATTTTTTTTTTTTATGTTTGGTTAGAGAGTAAAAAATATTTTCTAATGTTTGATAGGCGAATGAAAATGAAAAATATTTTTTAGAAAATATCTTCCTTTTTTGTTTGCTTGAGACTAAGAAAATACTCTTCAAGAATATAATTTTCTGATCCGAAAATCAACTCCCATAATTGATGAAGACAAAAGTATTATAATTATTATTTGAAAAATATCATTAAACCAATAATAAAAATATGATTTAAAAATAATTTTTTTTTAAAAAAACTAAAATAAAAACACCCGGGCATACGTTTTTACGCTCAAGACTTGCGTTTTTATGTTCAAGGCTTACGCATCAAATTTTAGGACTTACGCCTATGTTTTTAATTTACACCTGAGAGCGTTTTTTATACACCTCGCTTCGAAACTCGCCCCAAAAACAAGGTCATGTGAAAGTAGTTGTTTCTTTTTTAATAAGAGAAAAGACATAAAGTCACTCTTAAAGTTGTCTCGTGTTTGCGTAAAGATACCTTAACTTTAGAACTGTCCTATCACCCCATGGAACTAATTAATATCTTTGTAAATGACCCATTTACTCGTCTGGGTTGTTGTCACGAAAATGGGGCGCACGACCCAATCTTTTCACTGCCATAATCAGCTATTACGTCTCAGGTGTCATTATATTTATTTAATATTAATTATTTAATTAATTTACATCATCTTTCCCATTATCTTCTTCACCCAAATAAAAAATGCAATTACCTTTTCTTCATCTTCTTCAACTTAGAAAATCTATTTACTTCATCCATTTTTTTCTTTTTCTTTCTTGTCTTTGCTTTTCTTTGTTTCTTTTTCTTCTTTTATCTTTTTTTTTTAAAGAAAAAGAAGTCCATTGATTAGAGAATATTGTTTGCAACAAATGTTAAATATATGGAAAATGAATAAACCATAAGAAATATGATTTTTTTCATCAAGATTGTGAGTAAAAATATGTTGCTTCCTTGATTCTACTCTCTAAGATTTATCCATGATTCGAGGACCGTTTGGTGTATTTCTCGAACTAGTATGATTTAGATTTGGCCTCTCTATATGAATAATCTATCAATTTGCAGATTATTCGAGATCTTGATCTCTTTATGAAATTTTTGAGATGTCTTTTAAGAGAATTTAGTATCCTTTATATATAGATATAAACTACGTTAATCGTATATGGATAAAGGTTAAAAAATTATATATTATACATATGTATTTGTATATCTTGGTGAATTATACATATATAAACATGACTAATTATACAAAATCGAAGTCAGCCCACGTAATAAATGTATAATGTTAGTCGCGAGTGGTAATTATAGCAAACTATAGCTATAATTAGTAATTAAATAGTATAAGTTTGCTTAGACGCGTAATTCTTTTTCTTTTATCAAATTTATTTACCCACCAAATTGCCTAACATATGGTTCAAAATAATAATGTTGGTTCGTCTTCTCAGCCGTATGAATGATAAATGCAAGTTTATTGTAAGAAGATTATCTGTACTATGTGAAAAAATTATATTAAAAACTAATATACCACAACTTATGTATGTTTAATTTTTTTTTATTGAATTAAAATTTGATCAACTTGTAGTTTTTAGAATATCATTGTGATAAAAGTATTAGGGATTTTATAAACTTTCGCAAGCATTAAGAGTTACAAGGTATAAAAGTAGATACCTCCGGACGTTTGTGTACGTAACTCTCCTTGATTTTAAAAGAGTTTATACATATAAACACTCTACTAATTCACAACTTTTTGATACAATTTCTAAGATTAATACTAAAGATAAAGTTATTAGTACATAAATAAATTGTTGAATTCTTCATTCTTGTTACAACAAAAGCATCCATTGTAATAGCAAGATGGTTACTAACTAACATACGAGATGCACATGTAACACATAAAATACTAATATTATTCAATATAAACATTTACATAAAGCCACTAATTTCATTGAACCACCCCAAGATGAACTAGTAGATGAACGGAAAACAAAGCCATCACAACACAAATGAAATCCTAAAATCATGTAATCAACTAGGAAATAAGGTCAAGAAGCTCCTCATCGCGTTCAAATTCAGACATATGTTGTTTGTCCAACATTACCCGCGCATCCACACCTTCACCAATTTTGTAATCATTCAAGAAGAAAAAATTCTTGAACGGACCATTTGGTAAACTAACTCTTTCAGGTTTTCCCCATCCAAAATCCACTTTATACAATGGAAA